AGAATTGATCGACTAATAGTAATTTCAAAATTAAGTGGGTAAAAATTTAAACAACTTACTATGAGAGCAACATTTTTCTTTTTGACATTTGAAAAATTATATTGAACAAGGAAAATGAATACATTGATATCTGCTTACAAAATCAAGATTAGTACCTATATGGTCGTATCATCTAGGGGTGCTCATGGATCCGATCAATCTGCCAAAATTGACCTGACCCAACCCAATTCACTCGCTTTTAATTGGTTTGATAGTATATATGAACGGATGGATGCAGATGAATATTTTTAAAATTTGCCTATGTTTGGACGAATAGCGGATGAGAGATCACCCTACCCAGCTCGATCCCCTAACTCTCCTTAAGAAAATGAGATTATGTTTTTATGCTTTGCATGTTAAAAAAAATACATTTTATGTAGTAATAATATTACCTACTTATAAAATATGAAAGTTTAGCCTTTATTTTAATTTAAAAAACGATTAATGAAAAATTTTGTATAATAAAAAATTACTTTAAAATAGTTCAAAAAAAAGCATAAAATAGTAAAATCCAAATCGTCAAATCGATCTGCGTCCACTCGTCAACTGGCACGGCCCACTCAATCCTCATCTGCTAACGAAGCGGACAAATGGTGGATAAGAGGCCACTCTACTCAATCCAATCCATGACTACCCTTAGTATCATTGGTTAACTTACAATTTAACGCAAAAGTTAGCAATTAATCTATAAAGAATACTCAACATAACTAATACTCAATTTTTTTTATTTAAAATTTATTTTTCTCACTTTTTTAGATGAAAAATTATTATTAAATTTTTTTTTTCCTATATTAGGGTCTAATTGATTTTTTAGAGATAGTTTGGGAGACAATGAAATTTTAAATAAAGTTTGGTGTCACGTCAGCAAGTGATGTCTAATTATAGACGACAACTGACAGTAAGGGTGAAATTGATTTAAAATTGAATAATTTAAATGTAAAATTGATATAATTGAAAGTATATGGATTGAATTGATTTTTGATTGATAATTTGGAGGAGGAAATGATATTTTCTCGAACTTTAGTGGATAAAACATAGACAAACATTAATAAAAGAGGGGAGAAGATGCAAGGAACATCATAGTTAAACTAGATAATTTCAACTAAGTTGACATTAAAAAAACAATCCCAATCATGTGCTAATACGACACTGCAAACAGGTGAGAGACCAACAAGAGAACAAAGAGGTTGAAGAAGAAGGCAATAAATGGAAATCAAAAACCCCTACACCCTACAACTAGTTTCAAGCTAGGTCAAATCGAATCTGGTGTAGATGATGGACGAAGTCTGAAACAGAGTTGTCTGTATAACATGATTTTGCCTTAACCTAAAAAGTAACTTGTAGCATGATAGTCTTCACAATAGAATTCTAGCTAGACTAATGCTGTGTTTAGTTAGAGAGTTTGAAGAGAGATTTGGAAGGGGAAAAAAAAAATGTGTAAAATTAAGTGAAATATAAATATATTTTATTCACATTTTACTTACCATTTCTATTTTCCTTTTCAAATTTCCTCTCAAATCCTCCAACCAAACACAATATAAAATGTTTTGAAAGATTATTGAGTTTTGGGCTTTCCAAATTGACCATAAAACGGTGAAAGGAAGTGCCTCCTAGATAACCTTATTTTTTTTTACGGATTGTAGAGTCTTGCCACCAAGAGAATAGAATGAATGGAATTTGGGGTTGCCCATGTCACCATGTGATGCCCCACCACTCGATGCAAGCTGACTAGATTAAAATATATTAAAATACAAAATAAATTTCGAAAGAGATAAAAAAAATCTACCACTCTTGCCCAAAAAACCTCTACATAGAAAGGTACTATTGTCACCAAAAAAAAAAAAAAAGACACGCACACACATACACACACCCCACCTAATAAGCATTATCAATCATTTTCACGATCTGTTTATTGTCATAATCGGTAGCTGTGATACTTTAATCTCCGCCTCTACTTTACAAAATAAAACATTCTGGTTCTGAGGTGGTCACTTAACGTATAAAAAAACGTTTAGCAGTATCGGATCTAGGTCAAGAATCAGATCTGAGTAAAACCATTCAACTCCATCAGATCTTTTTCCAACATTGTCCATTTGTTGGACTTTGATATCATTTGCACCTTCACCTCCATTAGATTTCTCCTTGCTATAGGAACTTCACATGAAGGTTACTAGAAATCAAAGGAGATTGATATGGAGATTAAAAAAAATTAAAAATAAAACAAAAGGATGGATTCATAGAATTATCCACAAAAAGGTAATTCTTCTAAGCACAATAATCTTAAGATGGAGTTGAATCTCCCAAAGCCCAATACCGAATGAGTTTGAATAGCCTCATCTAATTGACACCACACCTGTGACAATTTTACATCAATTTGGCTAATTTCAATACAGAAACATTAAATAGGATGACAATTACTATAAACAAAAAATTCAAATAAAGAGAAAGTATGTACCTTATTTGCACAAAAAAAGCTTTTCATTGACAATTTTCTCGCAGCATATACTATCCACCATAACTCTAGGTATATGAGCATTAATCTCCGAAGTTATTCAATAGTAGCTTCTTGACCAGATTTTCAAGCCATTACCTTATGGGCTAGAAGGTCAAGGCCCTTGTTCTTTTTTTTATCAGTAAAAAGAGAATGACTTTATTCATAAAATTTAATGTACATAGAATACTGAGACAAAATATCAATAAAAGAAACGTTAGTGCATAAAGTATCATAGCAAAATTTTTTAACTCGAACTAAATTGGGACTGAAAAGTAAGTCCAATCATATACTAGCACCATACCAAAAGTTGGAGTGAGACCAACTAAAACAAAAAAACAGCAACCCAAACACAAACTGAAACCAGAGGAGAAAAAAAAAAGAAAGAACAGCAAGTGGAATCAAATAAGGAGAGTCCCATTAGAACACCTTACATTAATCCAACTCTTCCCTCGTGAAGATTGCTTTGATGTGTTGAAAACCAAAAAGCAAAATCAGAATGAGCGAGTGTAGATAACTAAGAAACAAAAAGATTAAAAACTGAAAATGCATACCTTTATATATGATAACTTCTAATTAACAAAAAATTACAAGAAAATAGGAAAATGTTGTGTTAAAATTAACACCTTGAATGGCAAATCTGAAATTGCAACATGATGGAAGAAGATAATTGCTTACACTTTGACTAGCATAAGTGACTTGACAATTAGAACTTGCAATTCCTCATTTTCATTTGTATTCGACAACTGTAATGGAAATAGTAGTGGCAAAGAATTAACAAATACCAAAGGTCATAACAAATCCTTATACAAGCAATTTCAACATGAAAAGATCATGTTCAGTAATATAGTAGATCATTAGAAGATGAAAAACAATATGACATTACAGGTTAAACATAACCATAAATGTCATTAAATTAAGGGAAAATTTCAGTTAGGGTAGCTTTTGAGAAAAAATTACAAATAAATGATAAATTTTATAATTATTAATAATTAAAATCATAAAATTTTTCATGAATCTATATTACTAATGAAATTACCACAATGGTAATTTCCCCTTAAATTAAAAGAAAAGTAAAACAAATGATCAACTAGTAGAGAAATGCCTTGGACCCCAGTGGGGTGACCACCACTACCCACTGGGGGTAATATTATTCATCCCAAAAACTTCCCATATGATGGTGTATTATGGGTTTATTTTTATGATCCGAACTGTTCATTTTGTAAGGTTTGTTGATTACTTTGTGGCTATAAAAAATTATATTAATCGGATATCAATAACTATATGATCGATAATCAAAAAGAATAAACAATAAGTTTTTCTTTTGAGAAATGGCATAAAAAATATGTAATTCGATCATATAGTTATTAATATCCGATTAATATAATTTTTGGCAAGTAGAAATTAATCAATAAACCCTACAAAATGAACGGTTCGGATCATAAAAATAAGGGTCCAGCTTATCTCAAGTTGAGATCAAAACTGGACCCGTCCAATTGGGCCCATGGGGCCCATTTTGGGCCCGTTTTGATAATCCGAACCGTTCAATGTGTAGAACTCGTCGAGTACTACATGCTTGTAAAAAATCACGTTGATTGGATATCAATAGCTATGTGATTTTGTATAAAAAATAGACGGTGAAACAATTAACGGTTGATAAAAAACTGTTTTGTTCACATAACAATTGATATCCGATCAACGTGAATTTTTACAAGCATATAGTACTCGACGAGTTTTATACATTGAACGGTTCAAATTATCAAAACGAAATCCGTAATAAATTCTCACGATCCGAACTGTTCATTTTGTGGCATTTGTTGATTACTTTGTGGCTATCAAAAATTATATTAATCGGATATCAATAATTATATGATCGATAATAAAAAAAAATAAACAATAAAAGTTTTTCTTTTGAGAAATGACATAAAAAATATGTAATTCGATCATATAGTTATTAATATCTGATTAATATAATTTTTGGAAAGTACAAATTACTCAAAAACCGAACGGTTCGGATCATAAAAATAAGGGTCTAGCTTATCTCAAGTTGAGATCAAGACTGGATCCGTCCAGTTTGGCCCATGGGGCTCATTTTAGGGGCTCGTTTTGATAATCCGAACCGTTCAATGTGTAGAACTCGTCGAGTACTACATGCTTGTAAAAAATCACGTTGATTGGATATCAATAGCTATGTGATTTTGTATAAAAAATAGACGGTGAAACAATTAACGGTTGATAAAAAACTGTTTTGTTCACATAACAATTGATATCCGATCAACGTGAATTTTTACAAGCATATAGTACTCGACGAGTTTTATACATTGAACGGTTCAAATTATCAAAACGAAATCCGTAATAAATTCTCACAAATCCAACAATATGATCCAATCCGATCTTAGACTGAACCAAAATGACTGCCTAAAAATAAACCCATAATAGCAGTGACCCTTAATCCTGGTTATATAGATAGAGAGATTAAAAATATGTGAAGTTGGAAGTTGGAAGTTGGGAACCCCATCATCATAATTGTCATCCCATGGCTTTCTCTGCAACCTTGTTACAGTTACAGAGCTCCTTTTCATACACAGCCTCTTCCACCCAGACCCTTGTGAGAAGAAAACCTCTAGCTCTAGCTCTAGGTCTAATTAATCCTCTTCGTTTAGGGGTAATAAGAGCCCTCAAATCCACAGAAGAAGCCGAGAATGAGAAGCCTGCACAGTCCATGAACACGACCCAATCCCAAGACTCCTCTTCCTCCTCTTCCTCCAAACCTTCAACCACAACTTCTACTCTCAAAAAGAAGAAACCCCAATACTCCAGTTGAGTACACTTCCATTAAAATACAAATTATTTATATCATATGTTTCTTCATTAGTTTTGTGTTTAATTAATTAAATATAACTCTTTTACTTCCCTTAAAAGATTGATGACCATAATAAAAATAATCTAATCTTCTTCTTCTTTTTTTTATAATTTTTTTTGTTTATTGTGTGTGCGTGTGTGTGTGGCTATTTCTAATGTCATGCAGTGAAGAAAGGTCAGATTGTGAGAGTGGACAAGGACAAGTATCTCAATAGCATCAATGTGAGTCCAAGTTAGATTTTTTATTTTTTGAAACAGAGCTTGCCCTTGGTGTTTCTGTTTGAGTCAGTAGAAATTAGGGCAAGTGATGTAGTGCCAAAGGCGTTGCGAAAACCTCACACACACGACTTGATAAAAAACACACAACAAAATAAACAAATGAAGTAGAGAATAAGTACAGTACGACAAGAGGAGATCCAGATTTGTGGTTCTCTCAACTTGAGGTACGGCGGCGGACAATGCTGACAATTTTACTAATTCAAAGAGAAAGTTACAAATGTATCTCATACTTTCTCTAATCACAAATGTCTCACTCTTATTTCCACTCAACTTGTCTAGTCAGTTACAAATGAACCACAATAGATTAGTGTTCAAAGATTCCAAATACATTGGTAATGAGGGGAATGAATATTCAAACACATGAACAATGATTAATTCATGCATATACGTGTCATAATGATGATACATGAACCATGAAATGAACTTCGAAATACATCCACCTCCCAATGCATATATCGAGTGCCATGCATGTATCCAATTGAATGCAGTACATGTATACAAATGCTATATATATGTGTATCCAAATGGAATTTGAGCCAATTCCCAACAAGTGGGTGTACATTTGATTCTCCTTAAGGGTTTCATACATTGGGTCACTTGCTTTATTTATGAATGGAATTAAAGTTGTGAGGTCTTTATTTTTTTCAATTGTCCCCCAAACTTTTTTTTTATTTTTTTTATTAAACAAAATGGCATAACTCTACCAGAAAGCATCCAGAAAATTGTAATATTGAAAGAGCATATCATATAATATAACCAAACTGATGATTACTTTGGTCTACCTTTTCAACGTGTTTTGCAAAATTCAATTTTAGGCATTTATGCTATTTAAAGTGCTCTGCTTGAATCGTGGCCATGGAAGTTTTTATGTTTATTGGGGGGTAGGGTAGTAGTCTTTGATCCTTTTCAGATGTTCTTTTTTTTTGGAAGCTCCCTCCCTTTGTTGGTCTCTTTTCTTGCCAACTGTGGGTGTTTTTATTTTATTGCTCTAAGATTGGTATTGTTTACCTGTTTCTTGGGAGTTTCACCTTTCTGTTTTAAGGGGTTTCTGGTTTGTTTTGTTGTTTGGCTCTTGATTGATGTTTTTTCATCTAGTCTTTTTCTTTTCATGCTTCTATACATCAATAAAATCCCTTCTTTGCTAATCCAAAAATAAAAAATTTAAAAAATTACTGATTTGAATTGTTTGGAAAACACTAAAAAGCGACTTCTCCTTCTCCTTCAGTCAATTTTTCAGTCAATTTAATTCTGAGTTATTTCTATATGCTTGTGTACGTCTGTATGCCCTTTGTGGAAGGACTTATGCAAAGCTTTCAATTGCAAACCCTAGTGTGAAACTATTGTGTGTGTAGTGGATAGTCCGTAGTGCGTAGTGTATGACTTCCATGTTCCTTGTCTTTCACTTTGAAATTTGGTTTTGGCGTGCCTTTCTTTAGACATCGGCAAGTATGTATGTAAATGCAGATAGACCGAGTACTAAAGACGTTCGTTTTTCTTCATCTTCTTCTTCTCGTACTTATATATATGTGTGTGTATCAATCAGTATTTATCTGTTGGGCATCCACCTTACTACAAAAACTATTGTGTGTGTAGTGGATAGTCCGTAGTGCGTAGTGTCTGACTTCCATGTTCCTTGTCTTTCACTTTGAAATTTGGTTTTGGCGTGCCTTGCTTTAGACATCGGCAAGTATGTATGTAAATGCAGATAGACTGAGTACTAAAGATGTTTGTTTTTCTTCATCTTCTTCTTCTTGTACTTATGTATATGTGTGTGTATCAATCAGTATTTATCTGTTGGGCATCCACCTTACTACAAAGGCTTGGATTACATATACGAAGACCGCGGGGAGGTACTTTCCTACTACCTAATAATAGTACTTACTACAAGCTTACGTACACTTTGCACCTTGAATAGTAGTAATCCAGTAGTAGTAGTAGTATATACCAACCAACCAACCATTAATGTTCATCTTCTCACAGAGTCTCTGTTATTAGGTATTGGATTTACGTATCTTTGAGACAGGAGAATATGCACTTGTAAGTAGTACCCTTCTTTTTGTGATCTCTCTTGAGTATCAAGCATATATATATATATTATGTTCTTCCATTACAGCATAACATAGCATGGCAGATTCAATTACAACATAGCATAGCATAGCATGCTTAAATTATTCAAACAAACCGTACAACTAAAATCTTCAGACCTTTGTTGTTCACACATACCTTGGGAGCCCCACCCAAAAACAAACCATAGTTTCGTAGCAAATGCAAATACAAATACAGTGGAGATTTCAAATCTGAAATCCCACAACAGCCAGCCAATTTAACACGCATCCTTTGTTATATATATATATATATTTCAAATCTAGGTTCTTTTATGGTTTGAGGATGGTTGAGTTAGGGAATGGGTTGAAGGAAGATGATGAAGTTAAGGATAATAGTGTCCTTTTACATATGAATCTGACTTTGACTCTATTCATTTATTTACTTATTTATTTCGGCTCACTTTCTAAATCTTTGCATGTGGCCCAACGTTTGGTAGTTTTGACAGAAATGTAACGGGTGCATTTTAGTTTAAAATCATAAAGGATGTATTTTCTTTGAGCCATAGGAAGGTAAAGTGCTATATCCTTTATTTTCTTTGAGCCATAGGAAGGTAAAGTGCTATATCCTTTAACCATAAGGGGATTATGTGAATTTTTCCCATATATATATATATATATATTGAATAGATAAGAGATTTATCAGAAAATAAATAAATAATGAATATATATGAACTGCACCGGCTTGGCTTCCAACAGATATGCTTATCAAGGTTAGGTACACCCGCCCATGGATTAACATTTATTATTTTTATTATTATTATTATCAAACAAAGGTCAGTTACTCCATATATAATATAAATATAAGTTATAACCCAATTGAAATTGATACTTGAGAGTCACTGGCAGCTTTTATAGAGTAGGCGGCCAATAATTGTTTTTATTTGCTTGCTGCTTATCTTCTTATCTGCCTTGCCTTACCTGCAGTCTGACAGGCTCAATTATGAGAGAATGTAACTAAGGAGCTTATTCTTCCTCCTCCTCCTCCTCCTACACATTCAAACATCAGACCCCATCAAGTCCATTTCTTTTCTCAGGATTCTTAATTTCCATTATTCTTGCCATGGATTGGTTGCTGCTTCTATCGTATCAAAATGTTATATATCAATTTAACTTAGCCTTCTCGATTATTATTAAAATTACGATTGCCATTACATGGTACATGGTGCATGGCTGACAAATGCTATTTTCTTCTTTTCAATCTTCTCTACTGCTGCTTTTGAATATAAATAGAGGAGAAATAAAAATAGAAATTAAATGCAGTTTCTCAAAGATAGGTCATTTCCCATTTTTGTAGTAACTTTTGTACTGGAAACAATGGTATCTCCAATTATAACTCTTCTTAGAGGTAAAATATATCTCTGCGTTTTGATAAAACGGATATGACTGCTATTGATGGTCCAATACTAAATAAACTGAGCATCTCCTTTAGATGGAAGAATATTTTCCTTGAAAAGAATTTTTGTACCATCAGCTAGACCTTGAAGAATTCCCAAAGAGCCGCCATATTCAAGACCAGAGGGTGAGTCAAGGACTAAGATCAAGCCAAAATGTGTAGTTGGTGGACAAGAGGTGAATATTTTTGTACTATCTGTTGTTTGTATCGAGGGACGGAGAAGGCTAGATTAGATCCTTTCCTTGAACCCATACGTGTTTCTATGGTCTTATTGTAACTCGTTTGTTTGAAAATATTATTAGAAAAACAAGATAGTGTATGGGGTTTCACTAGAAATGTGGGCGCTGGTAGGGGTTGGTGGAGGCAGAGGGCAGTGGTTAGAGAATCCGGATCCTCGGTGCCCCTTTTCTGCTGCACAACCCTGTAGCCCCCAAAACGACATCATTTTGGGGGGTTTTTTGTTTTTTTTTCTTTTCTTTTCTTCTTCTTCTTGCCAAATTTAGAGAGAGAAAGCAGAGAGAGAGAGGTGGGTTAACTGGACTTGAACTAGATACTGAAGGGTAAGTTGGTCGTGAGTTTCCATCAGCCAGATTTGTAGATTACACACAAAATTACCTCACTTTGAGATAGAAAATTCTCATCACAAAAAAAATTCCAAATTGAACCCATTAAACCCAGTGTAAATCTCATCAACATTCCGATCTTGAAACACGAAAAAAAAACCCAAATCACATCCAAGATTGAAATTGAAAACCCAAAACCCAGTACAATTCATATCAAAATTATCTGACTTGAAACCCAAGATTTGCTTAAAAGAGTACATGTTTGTGTGTGTATGTATGTGATTACCTAGATATGGAAAAAGATGTCGGAAATCATCATCAACATCAACATCAACATCACAGATCCAGATCGCTGCTGGGTTCATAAACATCAACAAAAAAAAAAAAAAATCATCATCATCAAGATCAAGATCAACAAGGTTCTGCAAATCCAGATCATCAACATCAACAAAAAAAAAATATAAATTTGTTCATCAACAAGGTTCTGCAGATCCAGATCAACATTCCCTTCATCTTCAGATTTTGCCCTTCATCTTCAGTTTTGAACATCATCATCATCTTCATCAACAATCAAATCCAGATCTACTGGAAAGGGCGACTGATCACCGACCCTCGTTCTGTTTTTTTTTAGATATAAAGATATATATAGATATAAAGATATAAAGATATATATATATATATATATATATATGGATGAACCCAGCAGACCCTCGTTCTGTTTGTTTTTTTTTTTGGAAAATTATCGATTTCACTCGAAGTTTGATGAAATTGTTAAAAGATAAAATATGGGGAAATTACTCATAGGTCTCATGGGAAACATGTGATCTCCATTTAATCCCATAACTTTTTCACTACACCCAAAAGTCCTTTCCTCTCTCTCTGCTTTTTGCTTCCCTTCCTCTCTCGTTTTTTTTTCTACATTTTTCTGTCACCGTGTTTGTCATGGAAGAGGACCACCGGTGATCATATCTTTCTCCATTGATCGGGGTTCATTGATAACCACCAAGCATTGAAATCAACTTCGACCGAAGAAGATGAATATATTTTCCGACGAAGAATGAATGGATCTACTTAGATCTGATATAGATCTACTCAGATCATCATCAGATCTGAGTAGATCTACACATTTGATTAGACATCCGTCTTTCCCCTTCGATCTCTTTTTTTTTTTTTTTCTCTCTCTGCTATACACTTCGTTTTTCTGTTCTAATGGAGAAAATTTCGAATTCTGAACAAGCAGTTTTCGAGTTTTAGTTACAGGCGGTGAAAACTGTAAAATTTTCAGTTTCAAATTTTTTTTTTGTGCTGGAATGAATCATGGTTTAAAACTATAAAATTTTGCTTTTTATAACATTCTTTAGAACCTGTAAAATTTTACAGTTTCATAACATGTTTTTTAAATTTTTTTTTTCCGGCAATATTCTAGACATTCCGGTGAGTTTTCGGCTACCGTTAAATGAAAGTCCGACGGTAGTAAGATGCGAACAGTGTCTATAAATTTTTTTTTAAAAAAAAAAGATTTTTTGGTAACAATTAAAAATGTGTTGGACTAATTGGTGCAAGTATTTTGTTTTGGGATTAGTTGGGTTTTGAACTTGTTACATGAGACTTATCAGTAAGTTCCCCATAAAATATTTGAAATGGGTTTTATTCATCTTTGCATCTTCGCAATGGATTTGAAATGGGTTTTCTTCATCTTCATTTTGGTCCCCCCCTCTGTCCTCATCTTCGCAACATCTCTCTCTGCTTTCTCTCTCTAAATTTGGCAAGAAGAAGAAGAAGAAAACAAAAACAAAAACAAAAACAAAAAAACAAAAAAAACCCCAAAACGACATCGTTTTGGGGGGCTACAGGGTTGTGCGGTACGAAAGGGGCACCGAGGATCCAGATTCAGTGGTTAGAAGGCTGGTTGTGTAGAAGAGGAGAGAAAAGAGGAGTGAAGCAAGGGTGATTTAGAATGGAGGGCGATTTAGGATTAAACAACTGGAAATGGGACAGTCTCGCAATACTCTAATTGACAAAAATATTAATTATCTTTGTATGGTCGCCACTGTCCATTTGTAATAGTTCCTGTCTCAATGGGGGAAATTCTATTTTGTCATTGGAGCATGATGGGAGGTCGGCATTTTATATTATTGGAGCCATGAAGACTCATGTAACAAGGTCATGTGAACAATCAAAAAATTCTAAAGTAAATGTATACATATAATATTAAAAAAAAAAATATTGATATATAAATAAAATTAAAACATAATATATATATATATATATATATATTGAAAATGTGTATGTCAACGTGATAAAATCCATCAGACCGAGCATGGTATTCTCATTACTTCAGTACAAATATACTTCTAACATGCTAATATATAAATGCCAGTATTTTGTTTTGTTTTGTTTCGTTTTTTCTTTCTTTTCATTTCAGGACTTCTTTTGCTATGCTATACAAATACAAAATAATTAGACTATTGTGTTCATTTCATTTAACAAAGGTACTAAAAATAATAATAATAAGACCCATTCAACGAGTTAATCACAACTAGCATTTCTATAATATTCAAACCCAAAAATTTAGAAAGAAACGAAAGAGGTAATATTTATTTCTAGAAGAGTTTATCTTATTCACGGTTGTGCGGTTAATCCAGCAATTTACGGACATCCAATCATCTAATGACATGTCACCAATAACTCTGGCATAGATAGAGATGTCACTACTTCATTGGTTGTCCGTAACCACCACCACCGCTGCCACCAATAGCTCAAAAAATAGTGTCGGTATAAGCAATATAACCCCCCATGCAAATTAACAACAAACAATTCACAAACAGTATATATATATATTTAATCATCATCTTGACCACCTTCCCATTTACATCAATCAGGAGCCAGGAGTTGAGATAAAGATACAGATAAAAGATTGCTACAACATCGTCAAGGAATTTACTCAGTTACTTGACCTATATAAATTCCTCTCCCCAACTCATCATCCCTTTGTGTTGCCATCCAATCAAGCTCAAGGGATAAACAAACTAGCAACTCTTCTTTCTATCTTTACCATTCAGCCCGACCAAATTCTATTCTTGGTGAGAGCAAAGAAAATTGTCAAACTCTTACATTTCATGTATGTTTGTCTCCCCCCCCCCACCCAAAACTCCTGCAACGCATTTTGGGATGGTACATACGAGAGATTTCCCTCCATCATCTTAATAATCCCCAATCAAATGGGTCTTTCTCTTGGGGATCCACTGGGGGGCGTTTGGGCTTTAAACTGGGGGATTTCTCGCCATGGGTCAAGAGAGAACTTTGTGTTGGATCTCGTGGGAAACAATGAGTAGTCATTAAAATTGTAACCACTATGCCCTACCAAAGAAAAAGATGGATGCGGAGGAGACAGAAAACAACTCTTGTATGCTGGTCCAGATTGTCGCAATGGGCTTGAACATGGAGACACCGGCAAAGATGTGATCATTCTTGCACTATCCCTGTGTGCACCAGAACATAAGGTTGAAGTTATTACAATGTTTTCAAAGTCATATGATAAAATCAGCTGAGATGAATAGTAAAAGAATCTTAGGAAAGTTTCTTTTTGGTAAATTACAGTGAGGTTTGGGTTTAATATAAATTGTCCCTCCCCACATTTCAAAAATTATACTGCACCCCCAGTCAAGGGCATTACATGTTTTCTGTCTTTTAAAAAGACAACATGTAATGCCCTTGATACCCTCAACTACAAGGGTGAACTTCCTGTATTTCTGTCCATTATCTCTCTCTCTCTCCCCTGCTTCCTTTTCTCTCCCTAGTTTAAAACAACTGTAAAAAACACAAAACTGCCACCCCTACTGATGCAATATAATCTCACATGAAGATGAAGGTGGCCAAATTTGTTACTATAATTTAGTACGAGGGCTATCTGTTTTGGAAAGTGGGTGCTTGCAAGCTGCTTCTAAACTTTTTAATGTAGTGGCTTCATGTAGGACATATGTTAATAGGTGGCTGCATGTAAAGTTATGTGTCACTACAGTGGGTGCATGTCTTACACTTGTCTCTTTGTTATTTTATAGTTTTTCTACTCCGAGGTACTTCATTATAAATAACCTCCTTCCGTACCCATACATACTGTAAACCCCAAGTTGGTTGGTGAGCTATGACTCCATGTATCTTCCTGCCTTCTCTTCATTCTCTTCTTTTCCTCCCTTTCTTTCTCTCCTTGTGGATTCAAGGCCCCTATTATTTTCCGTTATTTTCCAGGTTACAGCAGAACAAAGTAAGTGCTACCTCCCCACAACCATCACCAACACCCAGCCCACTGGCCACCACCACCATCCCCTACCCCCTACAGCCACCAGTTCACCATCATCCCCATCTTCATTTTACCCACCCTTCACCGCCACCATCAGCCCCTACAGCCACCGACCCGTCATCATCCGCATCTTCGACCCACCCTTCACTGCCACTATCACCCACCTCATCCCTCCACTACCACCATCCCTCCATCCCCACCTTCGTTCAACCCACCCCTCACTGGGTTTGTGCTGACAGAGCCTCCGCCAACAGATTTTGTGGGCAGATCCTGTGTGGAACAAGTGTTTGATGAAAGTCCCAACTGAATTTGTGTGTTTTGCCATAGTCGGGGGCTAATTTAAAAGCTTCACCAGCGTCTGATGCTATTTAACGACAATAACAATAGGATGTTCATGCCTCAACAAATCCAAACTATGCTTGTCAGTGCTTGGGTGTTGTTTATTGAATCCCTCAGGTATGGGTAGCTTCAAGTGTCAACACCCATTCCCCATACCTCCATGCCTGCAAGTAGCCAGGGAATCTCAATGCTAATAAGTGGTTCAATTGTTTGTTGAATCTAGAGGTGGTGGTGATTTGGTGGTTTTGTTTGTTTTTTGTGAATTTCTCTCCAGAGTTTTTTTATTTTTTTATGAGTTTTGTTAATGAGTGCCCTTAGGGCATTTGATAAGAAACTTGACATGCTTGTACATAATGCATCGAAGTGCGTGTAACATGTAATGCACAATCAATTTAAACATTGTTAACCAATGTCCTTAGGACATTCATTAACCAAATCCTTTATTTTATTTTATTTTATATGGTGGTGTCAGTCTCAAAGCAGTAGAGGTTGGTGGGGCTTTTGTTTTTTCGATTTGGTGGTGGTGGTTCATACTTGTTGCAATTTGTCACAACGAAAGAATGAAATTGATTATACATTTGCGAGGAAAGAGAGAGAGGAGGGAGGGGGAAAACAAAAACCGAGGAGGGAAACATGGTGGAGGGGCAGTTGGATCCAGTAGGTTATGGTTGGTGTGATCTGAGGTGGTGACAAGAGGGGTTGGTGGTGGAGAGTGGTGCTGCCCTGAGAGGAGTGGTTGGGAGCTACTAAGAGAGAGAGAGAGAGGGAGAGAGGTGGAAATATATGAAAAATGCGAATTAGAGACTATGCAAAGTTAGGGTCAAAATTGGCATTTTAAACGATTTGTTGCTTGACATCATTAAAAATTGTGAAGTCAATCGACGGTAGACTAAAAGAGGGGTGATGTGTAATGCGACCATCAGTCTCAAGGAGGAGGATGTAATTTCCAAAAGATAAGGGCACTAATGTAATGGAGACAAACCTCATGGCATGTCAGTGTAATTTATCCTTTTTTTATATATTGACATATATGATTAGTTGTCCTTTTTTCTTTGGGTTAATTGGTGTTAAGTCCCTTTAGATGATATACTTTAGATGCATAATTCCCATACATAATCTTTTAATCCATGCAGTCCCACTTAATGTGATTTGTGTGAGATGGATCCCAATTTTGAATTTATACACTTTTTTTATTACCCTTTTTACCCTCAATTTTAAAAGTCATATCAAGTTTGTATTACAAAGACAATCGTTCCAATTTTAATAAAATGATGTGCGGAGATCATGCAGATGAAGATCATTGCAGAGCTCAATTTTCTATATCGTTTTCTCCATTTCTCTGTTCTTATTTTTCAGTAAAGCTTTCTTATCTTGATGATTTTTTGTCATTTTTGATAGTCAATGTTGGGATTTGCCAGCATTCCCCTCCCCTCCCTTCCCTCAACGATTTACCTCTTTGCCACTACTAAATTTGATGACCTTCACTACAAAATTTCACAATAAAGCTCTTTATCCTCACCCTTGTTCCCCAATGGAATTTTTTGTAAGTCAGTTTTGTATTTTCAGTGTAAAAAAGTATGAAAGGTCATACTTTTTGTAGAATGATTTTTGTATTTTCAGTCTAAAGAAAGTGTGAATGTTCACACTTTTTATTAGATGATTTTTGTAATTTCAATGTAAATTTCACAGTTTTTATTGAATAATTTAAATGTGTCATAGTAAAAGTTTATTTGATCAAACGTTTCACAGTTGCATCTTTTGCATGTGTAACAGTTTTAATCACACTTACAGTCTTTACACAGTTACTAGAAATTCACACTTTCAATAATTAAAAGTGTTAATATTTACGCTTACAACTTTTACACTAAACCAGAAATCCACATTACAACTGTCATGATTTTCTCTTAAAATATAGATTTCGTCATCATTTTTGACATTATATAAATATAAATTTCATTCACATTAGCTACATGATTTTTATGAAGATAGACCATGAAGGAATCTACAATTTATGGTATTGTTATTAACAGAAATGCAGTTAAAATCCTTCCAATAATGTCGAGATATAATAAGAAATCGTATTTCTAATTACATCAGAAAAAGTCGAGAATTGATGTTAGTTTCTATAGCCGTCAAAACCTTATGTTGGCCCTTTTTGTCATTATGCTGAGAGTGGGACCCGGTTAAAAAATATGAAAGGGACCAAAAATGGTATATAAGGCAGGTTAGGGTTAAACTATTTACCTCGGACTCATCAAAGCTCTTGAGGTTGTTGTGACCACTGGTTTTGTCAAATGGCCTCCATCAAAAACATTTGTATTTGTCCGGTTCGAGCGTAGCTCTGATGCTGTCTGCTTCAAAGTAAAAGCAGCAAAGAAATTAGTATTAAGACAGCAAAACTTCAGTATAGCAAGCATTCAAAATAGGAAAATCTTCACCCTTTTTCGAACATTAGTTAATCAGCTAAGAATTTGAAATTTTAAGGATTTGGTGAGTACATAGAATATCACATCTTAGGGAATGATTCAGTACAGCAATATTTCATCCAGATATCAGAGAAGATTACTAATAAAGCTGAAGTTGCTATTGGGTAATAGAATGTGATAAATTATCATCAATTCTTGATCATCAAATTACAAGGATCCTTAACTAGATTGTATTAACTTATGCAAACTAGATTCCATTCTTTGTTCATTTGAAGAAATAAAACAGTAAGTTTTCTATATATATATATATATATCATATAGGTAACAAAGCTTCATATTATATGTTACAATTGGCTATATGCATCATGTTTCACCCAAACAACATCAAACTTGGGGGAATAATGAACACCCAAATTAGTGAACCAAGTTCCACACAGATCTTTGCTTACATCAACTCTCTATTTCATATATTCAAACCAAAAATATTACTGAAAGCTCTTCCAACAATTGCCTCGCATGAAAAATAAAATAAAATAAAATAAAAAAGTTTCAAAGCAGGAAACCTAAATATGTGACCTAAATACAAGTTAAAAAATCCAGGTGAGCCATTCAGCAGAAACATATAAATTCTTGAAGGCTTTACCGGTGTGCGACTTCCATCACGGCGAGGAAAGGCTTCCTTGGTTAAGTTGATGTTGCCAACTCTTGTAGTCCCTTGGTCTCGAACAAAAGGGTGATCTAGGAGTTGGAAGGCTGTAGGGCGTGCTGATGGGTCCCGTTGTAAGCAAAGCTTTAAGAAATTTTTGGCATCATTTGAAAGGTGGTCAGGAATTTCTGGAACATCCTTGCTGTTTCCAATTTTAAATATTGCAGCTACCTGTGGGTTTCAAAAAATGAGCAAAGTTTTTGGTCTCACAAACACTTTAACCCAGGCCTTAAGCAAGATGAATTCCATAACAGCAAAGCAGTATCTCACCCCTTCATAACGACTCCAAGGTGGTTTTGATGTTGCCATTTCCAAAATTGTGCACCCTAAGCTCCAAATATCCACCGGAAGGCTGTACCCATTTGTATTCATTATGACCTTAGATTGGATAAAATCATTAGTACACAGAACTAATAGGTATAAAGCTTAAATGGAGAAAGGAAAATGTTTCACCAAGTTGCTGTTGCATGATGCGTTTGCATGTGTGCGCAAGAGAGAGAGAGAGAGAGAGAGAGAGAGAGGTACCTCAGGCGCCATCCAGAAAGGGCTTCCTTTGAAAGAAAGCATTGAAGAACAAGCAGTTATCTGCTTTAGAAAAATTGAAAATTAACCCAGTTTTTAATAATTAATTGAACAGGAAATATATTCAAATCATTTCTTGGATTTTATCAAGACCAAACATGACCAAATTATAGAATTGTTAGGCCTGGACCAGCTTTGCAGCATTTTGATGAGTCATGACAGGTTCATGGGTCATGGGTGAAAATATTCATCTTCATCATTTAATGAATAAAATAAATTTTTTGTTTATTATAATGTTTACCTTCCATGCCATTGTTTACATGATCATTGTGTGCGGATCAAGGATTTGAGGAGGATTTTTTGGAGGAAAAGGAAAAAGGAACGGAAAAGTGAATGAAATAGAAACTAATTTTCATTTTTCCCTTCCCTATTCCTTTCCTTTCCTTCCACAAATCCCCCTCAAATCCTTGATACAAATACAACCAATAAGTTTACAGAATTACAATTGAGAAGCCATGTTCTTAAGAGTTAAAATGGTAGACTTTTTTGTGTGTTTGATAGAGAGCAAGCTTAATGAATGTGAACACATGAATATTCGGTATAGAGTTTTAATTACCTGTTAAATAGATATTTACTGGTTACAGTAGTGCACATTATCCTTAGACCTAATATCATGGTTTTCTTTTGTGTACTATGAGCATTGCTATACAGAAACGTAACAATCTCTCTCTCTCTCTCTGTGCTAATCTCTGGCTCTCAATCTTGAAAATCTGGATCTGAATTTTTTATTATGAATTTCTAATTTTCTGGTTCCTTCTCTTGTGCAACGGTCATCGTAGTTATAGAGTGCCATCTATACAATTAGATATTCTTATCTTCAATTTGAATTTAAATAAATTTATGATAACACTGTTCAAATCCAAACACAATGCTATCATATCATGTATTTCAAATATGACTAATCGTATTGATCTTCTAGAATTTTTCCTCTGCAACATTTTCCACAGTAGGCTCTATGTGTGTTCATCCCTAATTGGGTCCATTGTTCCTTGAACTTTATAGACTACACATGCCACTTATCTTATACAGGTTATGAAGATTTTGAGTTTAGGGTCTCACCAGCAAATTGAACCCAAACCAAGCCAAGTAAAAATCTTCACCTAGCTTCAAGTTCTTTAGACATCATTCAATTGAAATTTATGTGCCAATATTGCGTCAAATACCAAACCAAACTAAGCTTTGTGTCCCAATCAAGTGGGGTGAGGTCGGCTACATAAATCTTTTTTCACCATTCAGCTCTATCAAGGGCTACATACTCTGTTAAATTAAATAAATTCATATCTTTTTTACTAACACATCCCATGTCAACTTAGGAATTCCCCCTCTCCCTACCATCTATGCTTATAACTCTTCCTTATTGTTGCATCTATAGTCTTCGTTGTACTTGTACATGCCCAAACCATCTTAATTTATTCTCTCTTAATTTATCTTCAATAGATGTTATTCCTATCATTTCACGAATATATTAATTTCTAATTCTATCTTTTCTAGTCTTACCACACATCTATCCAAACATTCTTATCTCAGCAACAACACCCAATTTATGCCCATATTGTTTCTTGGTTGCTCAACACTCGGTCTCACAAAGCATCCCTAATTTTAGAATTGTTCTATAAAATTTTCCTTTCAATTTTGTTGACATTCGTCGATCATATAATATGCCAAACGCACTCTCCTCCACTTGAGGCAACTAACTTTGATTCTATGAATCACATCACCTCTAGCCTGACCATCCTTATTAAAAATCGAAACTAAGTAACGAAAATTTTTGCAATTTGTTATCTCCTCATTTTCAATCTTCACTTCTCCATTCTTTCCACTTCTACTACTTCAAGTTCAGATAACTATGCAAAATTATAATAAGCTCATTTAGATTTCATTTCCTTGGTCAAGAAAATGACCTTTGGGTCTTCACCTTGTAGTGTAATAAAAAAATCATTTCAAACTCGAAAAAAACTGATAAGTCTATTTTGTCATTTTATCAGTACAACTGCCTAGGCTGCTCTGGTTCAAATAACAACGCAAAATTATAATGAGCTCATTTATTTTTTTTATTTCCTTTGTCCATTAAGGAGAAATTGGAATTCATAACTAATTTAGCATAATAGTTGCGTAAGATTCCAACTTTTAACCCTTGCTCCATTTTTGCAGCTTACACATAGAATTACAACATACCAGTCCTTTACTTTCTTACTTGCTATGTGGCATCTGTGCATGTTAATAAATAATCGAAATCTCATATATTTTCTGTTCAGTTTGATAGGAATGAACTTTATGTTCAGGGTGCAAACATGAGACATACATGTTTGGCCATGCCAAAGTCCGCAAGCTTGATTTCACCCATGGGATCTACTAATATGTTTGCCCCTTTGATATCCCTGGACAGTAAAAAAATTGGAGGAAAAAAAAAGTCTCCTTGAGGAAGAAGGAAATGCACAGAAAATTATTTCACGATTATAGGAAGTGTGACAATGAATTACCTATGCACAGTACTCCGTCCATGTAAGTAAGCAAGCCCAGAGAGAATCTGTCTAGTGTAATTTTGGATAACAGGCTCCCTAAAGGGTCCATATTCTTGAAGTAATTTGTGGATGGAACCACCAGAGACATATTCCAAATAAACAGACAAAGTTTCTTCACCCTGAGAGATTGAAAACCAGAATTATTAAAATATTCAAGCTACGTCTGACATTCGTAGTTATTATCAGGATTGGATAGAGTGGGCAGGCCAAGATAAGGATCTTTGTATATATATAAATAAATATTTGAACAAGAAGAGGTTCCAATCATGAACTAGCTCATACCAGTTCACTTCCATAGTATTGAACAATGTTTGGATGCGAAAGATGACGAAGCAAAGTGATCTCCTGTTGACAATAACAAACATTTTACAGATTTAATCAACAATCACATTACAAATTTCAAAAGTTATTCACAGAAGGGTCAGTACGAAACTAAAAACATATGTGAAGTTGGCACAAAGCAAAATAATTCAACAAAGAGAGATGAAAAGAAAACCTGGTTCAGTTGCTTCAGACATTCTTTTGATGTCCGATCATCCGCAATTACCCTGACCTCTTTTATTGCGCACAGTTGCCCGCTCTCACTGTTAAAATCGCCAAATACAACATTAAGAAGATATGTCAGATGGAAAACTCATCAGAAAAAAAATTAGGTACCATGTAACAATCTTGCTAAAAATGCATTAAATGCTTTCATACTTGCTTTTTCTTTGTAAGCACTAACAACAAACCAGGATTGAGCATAAATAACGTTTGACTGTAAACTCCGAAACTCAAAACAATAATCTTGAGTTTTTTTTTTATTTTTTTTATTTTTTTATTTCAAATTAATGATCAAAAGAAAGAATCATCATTACCTGTTAAATCCAAGGTAAACATGCCCAAAAGTGCCTCTTCCTAGAAGCCTTCCTCTCTTCCATTTTGACAAATTAGAGTTCTCAGATACTATACAAGTTCTTGTGTTAGGCAAAGCAGAAGGGCTCGTAGGAGAACCCGGTGGAAGAGGCAGCCGATGGCATTCACCCTTCCCCTCTTCCTGCCTTCCAGTTGGAGACTCCAAACTTGTACCATTAAATCGTGGATGAAGAGGTGATGTGGTGGTGGTAGTCCCTCTTGACCCTGGACCAGGGCTTCTTGGCATTGAGCTGAGCCTGGTCTCACCATGTCCTCTGTAATTGAAACATGACATTGAAAGTAATAAAGCTATCAGCAAAGGCAGTAATTTTTTTCTTTTCTTCTCAATGATAAGGATGAGAATTCACTTGAAAATCCTTCAAATTTGCCCATTCACAATATTTATAATTTCTATCTCCTATTATTTCTTCTAACTCATTCATGGGAATTTACAAGTGGCACTAATCAAATATAAAATTAAGCAAAGTTTGTCATTTGATATGGTTTGCCATATGCAATGTGGACCAACATACAAGTAAGGAGTGAGTGAATCTATCTAGGTAGAAGACTTCTACTAGAAGATGTTGAAAGGACAAGAACAAATCCAAGGACATGGATTGATGAAGCGAAGGAGAGCGTGATTGACTTGGATTTTACTGAGGATATATGGCTTGAATTGTTCCAACAGGAGAATATGAATCCATGCAGTGAACCCCTATTGGGATGAAGGCTTGCTTAACCATTCTATAAAACCTGCCCAATAGAACTATCTTTGACATTTAAAATGATGTCAAATGAATTTGAGAGCAAAAGCACTAGGAATGATAAAGATAACTTCAAACTGAAAAGTTGTACTCCCTAATTTCCGAACAATTTTCCCTCCACCTCACTCAATCAGATCATATACCTGTAGGATTATACGCCAAAACAACAATCACAAGAAAAGACACTGATTCGAGGAGCGGCGCCGGCGGCGGAAAAGCCAAAGTCTAGGAAGCTTTATTTTCTTAAAATAGATTAGTTCTGGAAGCTGACAAGACCTAACAGGAGATCCATACATGAAAACCCATGAGGAAAAGCAATGTAATTTTTGACAGAGTACTTTCCAGAGGGAGATCATGATATATGAGATGGCTGTAAATGACGGACCTTCATTTTTAACCTATTAAACTTACAAGGTTTCCTATTGAATCAACCAATTAGCAAGCTAAATTGAATTGAATCACAGCAAATAATCAAATACCTATGATCAAATCAAACCCTAAATTCGAATTTCAAAAAATTCAAGTAATCAAATCCAAAACAAGAGAGAGCACATACCTGAAAATACTAAATTGGGCATGATCAAGATGAGTCTGATCATCAGAAGACCCAGATGAGCTCACACTCGAGGACACCGAAACAGACCCAGATCCGAATCCAACCCCAACAACCCCAACCCCAACCCCAACGCCATGATCAATCCCCCCCAAAGATGGGGTAGATGAAATCGAAGGCCGCGGCAGAGGAAGGCCACCACTGCTACTACTACCACCACCACCACTACCACTGAAATCCCTGCTGTTCCGAGGCGAATTTCTCGAAACCAAGACTTCGTCAAAGCTATTGGCCTTGTCCTTTGCCCTCTTGTTATCATTTTTGATCGAAGATTTGCTCAAATTTTGGTTACCCCAATCATTTTGTACTAATTCTTTGTTCTTGGTAGATTTTCTTCCCCACCAAGGCATTTTTTTATTGATATTTAACTGGAGACAGACACAGAGAGAGAGAGAGAGAGGGGAAAGGGTTTGAGTATGGGTTGAGAGGAGGAGGAGGAGGAGGAGGATAAACCCAAATACGGAAAAAGGATAAACCCAAGTACAGAAAATTTTTGGCCTCTGGTCTTGTGCTTTGATTTTATATGGATTGGAAGGTGAAGCTAGAGAAAGAAAAGTTCAAACGAAAAAACAAATACACGGTCAGGCTTTTTAGAGAGAGAGAGAGAGAGGAGAGTGGGGGCCAATCTACTGTGCCAAACAGCTCAGCTTGTTGGGGGCGGCCGCCGGTGGTTGGATAAAACTCGAAGCGTGATGTGGCAATTTTTATTGGAGAGAGAGAGAGAGAGAGAGAGAGAGAGATTAGTAGATGAATTTAGAGAGAGAAAAGTGCATTTTGTGTGTGTGTCTTGTCGTGCCTCCCCCACTATGACGACGCCTGTAATTGTGTCTTGTGTTAAAAAAGAGCATCTGAGGAAAAATCATTTGGTAAAAAGTTCATTATCTATATGCATGCATGGTGCCTTTTAGGACGGAAGTTCAAATTTAATGTTTTTTTTTGTTGATCATAAGGATTGTTTCGGAACTTAGTTATTTTAATTAATTTTTTAATATTCTATAAACATATATATATATATATATAACACAAAATAAAAATAATAGTAATTCACTTTTTAATGTTGAATTTTTGACTAAAATAATATCTTGTCAAACTTACATGCATTGTACTTTTTGTGATTGGTAAATTTAAATGGTGGTAAGAATAATTCTTGATTTTTTTTAATATATATTATGTTAAAAAAAATTTAAATGTTACAAAAGTATCTCCCATAGTCATTGCCAAAATGACAAAGTCAAAAACTCTACAATGTTAAAATGCCAAATTTTGACTATAATACTCGCTCAGTATCTTGCTATCTTGCTATTTTGACACAATAGTTGATCTCAAATAACAATCGTTCAATTTTTTTTGCTCTTCCTTAAAAATTAGCCATTAATCGAGATGAGCTGAGATTCTTTCCATTACATGATTCTGATAGAATATCTACATTACATCATTTAAGAGTCTGTAAAATAATCTTAAAAGTTTATAACTATTTTATATTTTAAAATAATTATTATAAATTATTAAATAATATAATAGAATCCCTCCATTACAAATATGTAACAATGAGAATCACAATCCCCATTGATCTAACTAATCCTCTAGAAGCTACACACATAACAAATTTCAAAAGAAATATCCCATTATAGTAATCCTCTTTGTCTCCCTCTATATCTCACTAAACTTATTTGTTTCTCTCAATCCCCTCTCAACCTATCCCCTTTTTCTTCTTTTCTCACAAATCACAAGCTATGTCCATCTCTCTCGCATAATTGACCCTAAATCCCCAAATCACAATCGACTATGAAGATGGCAATCAACAATTTGGAAGACCTATTGATTTTGGTAATCTCAACGATGCCTCAAAACAAAAGAATGAAATGAATTACTTAGCTTACTAATTAATGAGGTAGAGACCATGTATATATAATATATTCATAATATAATTTAGGAAACAATATACATAAGGTAAGATTCTTATAATCAAAATAATTCCTATTCTAATTTTCGTTCTAATTTTCATATTCAAACATAATATTTTGATTTCTATATTCAACACTCTCCCTCAAGCTGACATGAAGATATTCAACAAACGCAGCTTGTCAATGGAAGACTGGAGCAAAGTTGGTCTCACAAATTTTGTGACCATATTTGCCAATTGCTGAGAAGAAAAAACAAAGGGTGGACACACAATGCCAGTCCGAACCTTTTCTCGAATGAAATGTATGTTAACCTCGATATGCTTGGTACGTTCATGAAGTACAGAATTAGAGAATAACATAATGGCAAATTTGTTATCACAAAATAAAGAGAAAGAAACAGTTTCCTCAAAACCCAACTCTGTCAGAATAGAGCGAATCTAAAGAATTTCACATGTCCCATGTGCCATAGCTTGATACTCAACATTTGTAGAAGACCTAGAAACCACTTCTTACTTTTCCATAAGATAAAATGATCACCATAAAAAGTATAGAAGCCAGAAACGGAACGCCGATCAATCCTAAATCCTACATCGGTGAAACAAGAGAGCCCAAATTGGAGACCAGCGATAAAGAATAATTCCAAGCCAGGAAAAGTTTTTAAATACCTCAAAATATGATGAACCACGTCAATGTGCTCTTTACAAGGTGCATGCATGAACCAACTCATAACACTAAAGGCAAATGTCAAATTAGGTCTAGTGTTTGTCAGATAAATGAGGCATCTAACAAGAAGCTGATACATGCTTGCGTCATCCAACAACTCACCAAACTCTAATGAGAGTTTAATATTATGATCCATAGGAGTAGAAGCAAGCTTACACCCTAACATACCAGTATCATGAAACAAGTCAAGGGTATACTTTCTTTGAGATAAGAAGATCCCCTTCCTTGAGCGAGCCACCCCAATTCCTAAAAAATATTTGAGACATCTCAAATCCTTAATATCAAAAGTTTGGCCCAAGTCATTCTTTACTTGACCAATGCCAACAGAGTCATCACCTGTGAGAATAATATCATCCACATAAACTAACAAGACTATATATTGACCTGTAGAATTCCGGTAAATGAAACAAATGTGATCGGAGTGGCAGTAAACAAAGCCCATAGATATAATAACAAAACTGAAGTGACCAAACCATGCTCGTAGAGACTGTTTTAGACCATATAAGAATTTGCGTAACTGGCACACTTTCTCCAAATACTCCCCCTCAACCCAAAAATCTGGTGGAGAAGCCATATAAATCGCCTCAAGAAGATCTCCATGGAGAAATGCATTCTTGACATCAAGCTGATAAAAAGGCCAAGAATGAGATACTGCAAGGGAGATAAGGAGGTGTACAAAAGTAAGCTTGGCGACAGGGGCAAAAATGGCACCAAAATCTTTGCCAGGAATCTATGTAAAACCTTTGGCTACCAAGTGGGCTTTGTAACGGTCAACTGAGCCATCAGCGAGGTACTCCATAGTGAACACCCATTTGCGATCCCAAGTGTGATTCTGTTCTAAGGCTGTCATCTTAGTCTGCATAGCTGCTACCCATTTGGGATTTTGAAAGGCCTCAGATATAGAACGAGGAAGGGACACCGACTCAAGCTTGCCAAGAAAAGAATGGTAAGAAGAGGAAACTCTGTCATAGGAAAGCTACTAGGAAATATGATGATAAGTACTACTCAAATAACTCAAACAATTTACAGGATGTCGATCCCGATGTGGGTTACGACAAAGAGGTGTACTTGACCCAAAAATCGAAGAGGCGGCAGAGGGGCTGAGCGTGTGGGTAACGAGAGTATACTTACACTAGAGAAGGAGGCGAAGGTTGAGAAGGAGGAAGGGGGACAACCTCATCCAAAATAGTCACTAGGTAAACAGTGGAAATAATAGGAGGAGAAACCAACAAAGAAGGGTTAGTACTAAAGAAAGGAAGATCCTCATAAAATGTAACATCCAAAGTGTGGTAAAAGTGAGGAGATATAGGGTCATAACACCTATACCCTTTGGACATGGAAGAGTACCCTAAGAAGATACAACGAATAGATTTGTCATCTAAATTTGTGCAAGTGGGACTCCGATTTTGAACAAAATAAGTACATCCAAAGACACGAGGTAAGAGTAGAAACAGAGTGGTGGTGGGCATAAGGGTATGAAACGGAGTGAGTCCATGGAACACATGACTAGGAGTCCTATTAATGAGATAAATAGCAGTAAGGACAACTATATGTCAATAAAACTTGGGAACATCCATACCTTGAAGAAGACATCGGACAATATACATAATATGATAGCTTTTGTGTTCAGCAACACCATTTTGTTCAGGGGTCCGAGAACAAGTAAGTTGTTGAAGAATACAGGTTTGATTAAGATGGGGACAAAATGCATTAGAAATATATTCCCAACCATTATTAGAATGGATAGTCCTAACAATTGCATGAAATTGAGTTTTAACCATTTGTAAAAATTGGACAAAAATGGGAAAGACGTTAGGCTTACGACGAATTAGATAAACTTAAGTGTACCTAGTGTGATCATCAATAAAAGTCACATAATATCTATGACCAAAAAAAGCAGTGATAAAGGAAGGGCCCCAGACATCAGAATGTATAAGATAAAAAGCACTAGGACCACAAGTCATATGAGGGATATAACTAGTACGTGTATGCTTAGACAACTCACAAAGTGTGCCATAATTCTAAAGCTTGAATATTAAAAACACAAGACATGGAAGTAGGCAAAATAGAGGCCTGAAAACTAGCTAAGGAAAGAAAGGAAGGCTCGTCCGGTGGATCACCAAAGTGGTACAGTCCATTACGCTCATAACCCTTGCCAAAAATCCTCTTCGAACTTAGGTCTTGTAAAAGGCAAGAGGAGGGTAAAAAGATAACAGCACAATTAAATTGTTTGGCAAGACGACTAACAGATAAGAGATTGTCACGACCCAACCCCGCCCCTATGGGTTTAGCACCGTAACCGGCCAGTAATCCGAGATTACCAAAGGCCTGCTTAACAGTCAAACAGAATTACAGAGTACAGGGGCTGGCGGAAGCCAATACAGTAATTAAAATATGTCTAATGAGCTGTGACAGTCTGCATGCAAAAAGACTTTTCATATCATATACACATATACAATCAGTACCAAAATAGTATGCACAATATATACAATCATTCAGGACAGGGACTTAATTCCTATTTAAAACAATACAGTACAAAAACATTTAGTCTATACAGAACATAACCAAGAAGGGGGAAAAGTAAAACACCCCAAGAGCCCTAGCTTGACAGGCTTAGAACCTCGCAGTGAGTCACAATGGTTGGCTTTGACAAAAGGGAGTCTAACCCAAGCTCCTAGCTCCAATCTGGTGCCTGAACACCTACATATATATATGAGCAGCGAGCTAAAGCCCAGTGAATAACATAATGCGTAAAGAGGTTAAGAATGAATGTCCTTTCAGTATTGAAAACAGTCAATTGATTCAATGTATCAATCATTCAGTCATATGTGGTACATCCATTAGCAGAACAGTACAGTAAACAGTAGGTCTTGAAAGACCGAACAGTCAATGATGGCCATCATAACAGTAAACAGAAGTTCCAAAATAGGAACTGACAGAGATCTCTGTAACAGTAGCAGTAACAGTAACAGTAGCAGTAACAGTAACAGTAATAGTAGTTGCTAAGGATAGGAATGGCAACGGAGCGGGGCGGGGCCGGGGATGCCACTCCCCGTCCCCGATCCCCGATGACAAA